GAATCAGCAATGACTTTCTCGGGAAAGGTATGATGAAGAAATAGCATATAGGCGCTCCGGTATTTTTTACACCCGTCTCATTTTTAAACCGATGAGCCCAAACCATTTTTCCTTGCATTTTCACAAAGTTTTTCATCTTCTCAGACCGATCAGGTTGTCAGAGTTTACGGGACATGTCTTTGAAAAGCTTTTGTTTGAGCAACAGCACGTATCCGCTTGGTTTAGCAGTGACTGAGGTAGGATTGAAAGGTCAAATATGACCCGTATATTTCTGACAAGCACTAAACGGAAAACAAATGAATATATTTGATAAAATAATGAGTACAATATTCTACGAGTGATGAGTGTAGTTTATTTGAAATACTTCTATTCAAATAAACTACCTTAATTTGAATGTTATATATATATATATATATATATATATATATATATATATATACATGCGACATTCTAAAGGTGCTATATATATAGCACCATATATGTATATATATATATTTACGTTTCCAAAAAAGGAAGCACCTACGTACTCATGTATATACGAGCATATGTAGGTATTACTGTGTATTATATGTGTGTAGTAATAATGAGGTTTAGAGTTCTGTGTGATGTTGATGGGTAATTTCTCACAACCCTTACTACCGTCGTTATCGGAGTGCCGGCAGCGAATCCCGTAAACGTGCCAGTTTGACCCTAGAGTAGAGAGTAGAGACGAGAAGCCTGTCCAGACCGTCGACCTATCTTAATTGTGAAACAAAACCTATAAATACCAGTATGAAAATGTTTTTTCGTCAACATTCATTGTATTCTATGACTTTCGGTAGATTTTCGAGAAATGTAAGACGTGTTATAAATTCCCTTTCCTTATAAGTATACGCTGTATAAACGAAATGGTACAAAGAATAAGAAGCGCGAATTTACATTAGAACATTTTATACAGTTTTGTTAAAGAAAAATATTATACAATTTATTGCAATTACGACTGTTGTGTGTCAAACTTCTGCTTTGAGCGCTGGTGGGATAGACAGCAGTAGATATTTATTGATTAAATAATATAGAACATAGAACACGGAAACTACAATGCAGATCCCTGTCTTTAAAGACACCAATGTATTGAAATGAAGAATAGCAAATATACAGTCTATCACTGAAAAATACTCCACCGTAGGTGCTGAATGAGGAACAAAGTTTAATATCTTTTTTGTTCCACATTCAGTAATATATCTATTATTGCTATAAAAATACGTCCGTGTGGTGACGGATGTCCATGTGGTGATGGATGTCCGTGTGGTGACGGATTAAGAATACAAAGTGTCACCACCCCAATTCATCCCGTGGGTGTCGTAAGAGCCGACTAAGGGAGCAAACTAAGCAGGACAACAGCACTGCAAAGAGAAGGAAAACTTGAAACAAACCCTATACCAACCCGTCTGGCCAGCGTGGTATAGTAGGCCAAAACCTCCTTTCTAAGGAGAGGCCTATGTCCAGCAGTGGACTAGTATAGGCTGTTGATGTGATGATGTGCTATAAAAATTGACGCCTGAAGAGAAATACACCGCTGAAACTGCAAGCTAAGTGCTTTATCACCATTTCAAATTATATATCAAGTCTAAAAAGTGCGAGGGCTTTTATAATATCTCTCATACAAAATGCATTAAATTGCTTGTCATTTACTGCTGTCATCCTAGGCAATTTTCGGAACTACATTTTTTTAAATAGAGTTCTCCTCGGTGTAATGATAATCATTGCCAGATTTCAAAGATAAAGACAAATCTTTTTGGTGTTGGATAAATATATTGTTTAAGCCATTAATATGAACAAGAAAATCCTTTTTTTTAAGTTGAACCGATTTCAAACAATTCGTTATTGATTTGCTCTCATTTTTTGAAGAGTTCCGTTGTCTGTCTCCGAAACACATCATCAATTCTATATGAAATTTTAATGGGACCATACCGAAATAAACCCCAAAAGGGACAATAAAATAATTTTGAAAATCTGTCTCTAATGACGGAGTTATAAACAACATAAAAAAAATATCCGAATTGATAACCACCTCCTTTTAGAAGTCGGTTAAAAATATATCTTTTGCGTAGGATTATTGATAATAAAAACGTTTTCTCTATAGGTATCGTTAAAATACTAAATCAGCGTAGGTATTTTGTTTGGCAGACTACCAAACCGATAATAAACGTCTATTGAAAAAACATGTCTTAAAACGTAAAATAATGGAGCACTGCATAGCCTATTTCAAACTTCCGATAAAAATTTTGAATTTTGAATAATTTCTATTCATATTTTATAGGTTTTCCTTATGACTCATAAAATATATTCCACACTATATTGATGTAGATAAATAAGCCAGCGACATTCTAATATATAATCTATAAAGGTTCCACACTTTTTAAAACACTCATATCAATTATCTATAGTTCTATTTACAAACATAGATATATTTTAAAATTACTGCACTACAATATTTCTAACACGTAACATGACGATAGTGCTGAATAATAATATTCCGGACCAATAATAGTCCCCTTTGGTTACGAAAATCAAATAACAGTCCTTGAAGACACACCGTTTATGCCGATAACGTTTTGACTTATTGAAAAGTGAAAAAAGGGAAAAATAGTTAGCAAACAAAAAAGACACGACGAAATAATTTACGTACAGAAATATAACCTTTGTACACGTGTACACGGAAAAAAATAAAGCAATTGATTGACAAATTAAATCTTAAGCACCTTAACACGATTTGTTGGAAGATCATCGGACCTAGGAGAACCAACGAGGAGACATTGATATAACACGCACCAGCCCCAGGAGGGTGTTAATCTAAAATGGGAAAACGCTTATCGGACATAATCCACTCACACCGCTCCTGACGGACATTAAATTGTAACATGATGTTCGGTTTTCCGATCCCATTAAAGTGAATTACAAAAAGTAATTAATATTTATAATAATATAGAGTTTCAGTGAATTTTATAATAAGATACCAAAAATAATGTTTTGATTCTGAAAAATCTACACATTAAATGTTTATTTTATGTTTTAGCACATCAATAATTATTTTTTTCTTTGTTCAACTAATCTAAACATTACTAATTCCATATTACCACCACCACCATATTACCACTTTAAACATTTAAAGTTGCTTACATTACATACCAGCTAAATCCGGAATCGTTTTGCTATTCTTCCTGTTGATCTTTGTATACCTAATTTTAACATTCTTTTTTAATATTTATCTACTAAAATAAATATCATATATTCCTGAGTGACTAAGTAGGGATGGATTTTGTTAAACGACTGACTTTTTTAAATAAAATTAAACCCGATCATTAATCGTCGTATTACTCCATTACTAGTATTACTCTATTGAGTGATTTACGACCTGAGTACTTACTTTTTATTGATTCTATAAATAAAATTCATGAACATTGTAATCGGTCAAAATTAATAACTCGCTTCCATCGATGTGAAAGCCAATTACTTACTTGGGTAATTAATAAATCAACAATTGCATAATACTTTTAATGTTCACAATAGAACGAATTTATAATTTTAGCACATGTTTTGTTAATGATCCCACGTAGGTAGAAAATACTTAAACTTAAAAATAAATCTGTGTACATATAATTTTAAATTAAAAGGGCGTTAATAACATTACTTTAATTTATAAAACCCTTACTATAATTTATAAAATATTTAAAATCAACCAGCACCTATTGTTGTTTTTTTAAACTAAAAATATACATAAACAGTTTTTAATTAATTGTGGGCTAGTAATATTATTTTTACGTTGTAATTCGGAACGGTTTCAGTAATTTTACAATTTCCATTTTAAAAGATACTCATAAGCTCATAAAAGACTCATCACACTAATTATCACTTAGAGTACACAGTATGGTAAGTGTTAATTTTATACGTACGTACAAACGGTAATAAAAATACCACATTGTACTTTATACCTAACACACTTATATGGTAAGGCAAAGGTTACCTTGAAGTCTAGTATAATAGCAACTAAGAAGTTAAAAGTTAAAATAAACTTTTAGAAACAAATTATTTGTAAAAGACAATGAAATACTAAAATAGCCTTATTTCTATGCTTTTTCTTTCATCTAATAATATCGTAATGTACCTTTATGTGTGAGACCCCTAAATTCTGTGTGAAAGCACATTAAACCACTCATACGTCAAATATTACAAAATAATAACCAGAAGTGTTTCTTACTATTTATAACACAAAAAGCCAAAGGAAGTACAAAATTAAATTTAAAACATAGAAACTATCTACAAACTTTTTTATTTTTTCTTCCTGTAAGAATCATCTAAGGTTGTCAATCATTGTTTATTTTATGTTTTAGCATCACGATAACTATATTTTTTTACTTTAAATAATTTGAATATTTCTAATTCCATATTACCACTTTAAACTTTTAATTTTGCTTATATTACATACAAGCTAAATCCGGAATGGTTTCATTGTCCTTCGTGTTGATCTTTGTATAACTTACTTTTTTTATATTTACTAAAATAAATATCAAATATTGCACAACATCACTTATTATGTTGACGGCATGCGTGGGTGAGTGAGTATAGATGGATTTTGTTGAACGACTGACTTTTTAAATAAAATTAAACCCGTTCAATATTCGTTTAATAAACCTTAACTGTACAATTTCTTAACTTAATTTCATTACTTATGCTGATACTTATGAGAATGTATCGTAGCTAAAACAAGTTATTACTTAGGTATGAGGAAGATTCGAAAAATATTTTCTCTTTTGTGAATATTTATGAACCTTATTTTAGCACCGAATCAGTATCGAAAACAACAAATACTTTTCACAAACCAAAAAACTTTTAAATCTAATTAGTTTTAAAATACATTATACAGACATGACACAATAAAGATTACGTTTTATTCTTACACCGAGGATTAAAGTAGTTGACGTGGGATAACTGGTGGTGGTCGAGACTGATTGGTAAGCGTTATGGTCAGATGGAGTGAAGCGCCACGGCGATGGAGTGCACGAGGAGCAAGCAGAAGACCGTTAAGGAGACCGCCGGTGTCCGCCAGAAGACGGACAACTGGCAGGTAATAAATAGGAAATTGTTATCTAGTAAATTTTTATCCATAGATTGATATCAAAATTGTATGTTAAAATTCCTCAATCTACTGTAAAAATTAAGATAAGCCATGTGAAAAAAATCAGAGAAAAAATACAAGTTCATCAAAATCGTTACATTAAAACTTATAAGTAATCTTTTATAAATCTGTTTTGTACATGAGGACTCATGCACAAAACAGATTACCTTTTTTATAATTGAAAAATAAATCCTATAATTTTGTTTTACGTTAAAGGTTTACCTTTGTGGATAAACGATTTCTATATCTTCTACGAGATAAGATTCGAGACTCGAACATTTTTTTTTCATTATTACCTTTATGCCACAATGAAACGAAATTACCAGTTTCGACTAATGCTATAAGCGATGTCAATACTTACACATTTTTGATTTTTCAATAAACAGAATGACGGAGCAATCGCACACGACTTAAGATGATAGTGTTTTTATGGTCCCGTACCTCAAACTTTGTTGTCCGTCTGTCTGTTGTCCTTTTATCTCCGAAACGCGTGGAGCTATCGTGTTGAAATTAAAACCATATACTCAAGTTTACGGTCCCTTGAAGCTGTAAAATAACCAAACTAAAAAAAACGCATATTTCGACACTCTCAAGGGAATCGAAATTCATTGGGTACTTCTCTTAGACCTATAACTCTGAAATTTGGCAAGTCTTATTCTACAAGTACAGAGTAAAATCTGAAAAGTATTCATTTGTAAATAAATCATAAAATATAGTCTTTATTTAAAGTACGTAATCAATCATCGAGGTCCGATTTCTCTTATAAAACAATTTAAGTAATTATAGGTTTTGGAAATTGAATTTCTGGCAAAGCTCGGCAAAAACTACGTGATTCGATTCCTAAACTATTTAAAATATGTACCTACAAATTAGTACGAACCCTCCGTGGGTGAGTCACACTCGCACTTGTCCGGTTTTTTTATTATGGTAGCACTTATAAATTGTAGAATATTCTTATAGTCTTTGGAGATTTTGTTGCCGGAAATTTGTACGTGTTGTTTTCATGGCAAGTCGTTTATGTTTATAGGTATATCATAGAAAACATCGTCAGCCATTGACAGTTTACTTACATATATCCACCATTTATCTACATCGCTGTCTCTTTAAGTAGTGTAACTTATAATTGTGTGTAATTCTGGATCTGGATGTGTTATATAGAATAACATAGTTTCTTACTTAGTTTGTATATCCAGAAAACAAAACTAGAATTATAGTATATTTTTGTGTTTGCTTGCTCTATTTCTGTGTATAAGGCAAAGAGCAACAAAAAAATACGTTTTTTTGTGAAACACGAATGCCCGATCTCTTGTCAAAAAACCACAAATAAAAAAAGTCATAATAACCATCCGACAAACCTTAACACTGTCACTACCAAATCAATAAGTAATTGAGCAATTGTTTATTCACTTTTTGAAATACCCAGGTAATCAAATGCCAAACTGGGCCCAAGTAGGGCAGGCTCTCTTACCTAAAAATATCAATATATGGTTTAAAAAAGAGCAAGGAGTGCAAGAATTTTTTGTTGAAATTTAAACATACATTCGATCAAAAAAGCACCTACGGTACTCTTGCTCTTATTTAAAGATTGTTTAATTGAAATTTTTAGAATTCCCTGTAAAAGTATTACTGTCTTCAAAGCGCTTAAGTACCAACATCATGATGAACCGTTATAAACTTTATTCTTCATTCCCTAATTTGAAACGGTTGTTATTTTTTTTTTTATTTTTAATGGCGTCAAACGAAAATAACATATGTATACGGCTCCAAAAAAGGCTTAAAATCGGCTCAAAATGTTTAAATTGCCAAAATTAAGTAGACAGAAAAAAAGCTTTAAACTGACAGTTGTGCGCGAAGCAGTTTTATACCGATAATATCATTCATGTCATTAAAAATTTAATTTGTACCTCGTTTCTTTGGCTTTCATAGTTTTTGCATAATTAGTTCGGACTTAAAAGTATTTTTTGTATGACTACGTAAGTCTTTGTAAATAATTTTAAATGAATCATCCTGACTATTCATCGACCATTAGCATCAAGTAGTTATTATGTCGCCAATAATCTCAGTATCAATAATGATACAGATATTTTGATAAGATTTGATTTGATCTGAAAAAAGATGTATTGATTCGTGTTTTGTGACAATGTGCCCATTTTCTTAGACAAACGTTTAAGTCATTTTCATACCTGCAAAATTTGTTTTTTTGACAAAAATCATGAATGCATGTAGCATTCATGATTTTTGTCTTGAATGGCTCGTGATAAATATATTGAATTAAGGGATGTACTGTGATTTGTACAAGCAGTATTAGTTTAGTTATTCACACATGGTTCGTGTCTACCTTTAAATGCCCTTTCTATCAAAACTATCACAATAGTGTAGACACTATCTTTTCGGAGGCTGTCTAGAGGATCTTTCCTACATGAATAATGTAAGCAATATTCACAAAAAATAATACTGACTTACCAAACATAATTACTTGAAATAAGTTGGTAGAAGTGACGTCACTAGACAGTGATTGGTCATGAATCAGTTTCATATTTGGTGCTGTAAAAAATAATTTTAATATAAAATAATTGTATTTAATAACATTATTTAATAAAATAATTGTATTTAATAATATTATTTAATAAAATAATTGTATTTAATAAAAAATTATGTAATTGAGCACGAAAATTTATCTTTTTTTGGGAATAATTCATTTAATATGGTTTTATTAAGTGACATATAACGTATCACCAATCGGATTCCTATTGTACAGACTCTGCCTACTTTGAGACCAAACGATCTCAACGTATCATTTACTTTTTTATTTATTGTCGATCCTATCATAAACAGTGAAGAACATTCACTTTAAATTTTTGTTTTGCTGAAATAACTGCTGTCAAGATCTAATGCTGAAAAACATGTTATGAAAGGTGTTAATGTACAGGCTTTTCGTCAAGCACTAAAATGCCTAATTTTTAGCTTTTTGCTTTTGAAAACTTAAATTATCTATGTTTTGAGCAAAACTTAATATAATATAAAAAAGGTTTTCATTTTAGTACTTGCGTTTTAATCCCGATCGACTGAAATGTTATCTATATTCTGATGTAGGTCAATACCATATAGACATAAAAGTATTTCTAAAATTTGAACATCTCTTATCACGGCCGCACTCCTCCGAAATGGCTCGACCGATTTTAATGTTTTTTTTTTGTGTATTTGGTAGGTATGAGAATAGGTCATGAAGTATTTTCACTTCACACCTTTTTTAATCATTTATGTAGCAGAACAAAGTTGGCCGGGTCAGCTAGCATTTATATATATCGTAATTGACTTATGGTCCATCTAATCTAAGAGGCACCGTTTGACGTTTCATACTTTTCAAGACGAAACAACTTTGTATAACCGTAACTCACACAAACAATTCAATAACCTTTTCCGTAAAACTATGGAATCATGAAGCTTTTTTTATTTTACCGCAAGATACGAGTATACAATTCTTAATTACTAAATTTAAATAGTTGAAACAAAGCGAAATAACCAATTTATACACAATAGTTTTTAGTGTTCTCAACAAACCTCCTTTCTAAGGGGAGGCCTATGTCCAGCAGTGGGCTGTTAAAGGCCGTTGATGACGTTTCAAAGTCCTCAGTCTTACGGCACTTCCAATTCACTTGAATACGAATAATCGTTAAAATGTACGAAAAAACGAATTTATTAATAACGAGTCATTTTCAATACAGGTGTCTTAAAGTGTTTAATAATACTTAAAATACATCCGTCTGTCAACAAAAACGCGTAATAAAAATGAATAATTGTAGCCAAAAATCGCGAGTCTAGTGTATACTAAGATTTACTAGTAAAACCTAGGATATGCTATTATACGGGCTTTTATAGTAACACATATAAATATGTAAAACTGTAATCGATTAGTACCTACTAAGAAATGATATCTCGTTAAGAATCGGATGTTGTAGTAATCGTTTGTTTGACCCCATCGCTATACTTCAATCTGTCAGAACTGTCAAACGGTACCTCTTAGATTAGATGGACTATAGTTATTTTTCTGCTGCTTCTAAATGGTTTCGTTTTTTCTCTTAAAAAATTAAAAACGCAGAATATAAGGTAGTTTATATAAAAATACGATAGAATTCGTTTTAGTAAACAGTTTGACTATTTTTTGCAAAGCACACTATTGATGTTTACAGGTACCAATTATTAAAATGTGTTAGATACGTGTAGAATATTAAGAGATAAATGTAAAGGCGAGAAAGAAAATGTAGAATAATGATTCTACATTTATTATCGACTGACCGTTAGTCATGAAGTTTGTTTTATTGAAACGAAAACGATTTAGGCAAAGTCAACAACTCTTGCAAATTGCAAATTGTGAACAACAACACAACTTTGCAAATTGCAAATTGCAAAAAACTCTTGCAAATTGTAAATTGTCAGTAGTTGATTATTTACTAACCCTAGTAATGTGGATCACACACTACACACTACATTACACATTACTAATTAATACATTCTTGATGACCTCACTAGATAAGCTGAATGCTTCTTTTAAAGCAGCTGGGTTTAAGGCAGGGATTAAACGTGCAACCATTTTATTAAAAGTTCAAGGATTTAGCCATTACACTACTACACAACAACAGTAATAGAAATAAAATATCAAAAAAATACCATAAATAATTGGGTTGTCATTTCTTAGTTAAAACAGCAGAGTGGTTTTACCTGTTACGTCGCCCCGTTGTTAAAAAACAACGGCTGGTTCCATGATAACATTATAATCATCTGTGAAAACCCATTTTTACTTCAAGCTTAAACAATAGAATTTGTATCTTTCCTTTAGTTCGCATTTCCTTGTATTATTATTGAATTACGTTTAGGTAAAGATATGACTTTTTTTTCGACGGCTAATCTTTAAATAATTAAATGCTGAATAGCTTTCAGGTGACATCTGGGAAGATATTTTATGAGTATATTATCTTGTGTCCGTGGTCCTTCCCTGTTTAATATGGTGTATGTAGGCTTATTTTTTGTCTTCCTTGTGCTGTCCCTTTTGTCTTCCTTAAGGAGAGAAGTGATTATTTCAAACTCATTCAATTTACTTCTGATAAATTTCGTTGCGGGTTTCAAGGCAGTTTAACTTTTTCTGGAACTTCTCAAGTGCCATAATTCGGTGTGATCGTGGGTTACTGCTGTTGATCTCGGTGTACAGGAGTTACAGTAGTGGGCGCGTGAGAGGTATTGTTCCTAAAATAATCTTTATAAAACCTATAGCCTTCTTAATGTGAAATATATTCTTAATACGATCTTGGTGTAATATAGTAAAACATTTTGTATCACCGACTGCTTCACTACTTATGCCTAAAACCTTTTCAGTTAACTAAAAATGCTTATTAACCCTTATCGCTTGTTCATATTATCAATAGGATTTAAGCCAATTATTCAGAATCTTTTTTACTGCAAGAAAATATTTTTGTTAAAATCGAAAGTAGCTATGAAGAATTGAAGAAAATCACATTAACAAAAAGTATATATTTGGCAAGCCACCATCTATCCTTAAATAATCAGAAATCAGAAATTTATGTTTGATACATATATGCATATATATATATACATATATTTGATACATATATCAAATAATTTTACATTTGTTTGTCCTCTATGATCTGATCTGAATTTGTAATAATTTTATACCTAATATGATCTCTCAATTAGGCTTTCAAATATTTAAGCTTAATTGAGAGATCATATTATGTATAAAATTATTACAAATTAGTTTTATTAAACGAAAAATGTATTATTAATTATAATTAATATAAAACAAGAAAATAAGTAGTACATTACCGAACTATAATTGGTTTTTTAAATGTTGTCGTTATTTCATCACTTACAGTATTTTTAGCAATTATTCATTTTTTCTCCTTTCTACCTAAGTGAAAGATAAAAAAATTAGCCTAAAAACATCGTTATCCCTAAATACGTATTTGAAAATATTTTAATAGTGACCTCTAGCGGTCGCAAATAGTACTATCTATTTACCTAGTATCTAACGAAGCTTTTCGCAGTATGGTTGTAAGGGTTTTCCTCTAGATGTCACTTTGCCGATGAGACCGTCCAATTATATATCTATATATATAAAAGAAAGTCGTGTTAGTTACACTATTTATAACTCAAGAACGGCTTTACCGATATGGCTGAAAATTGGTGAGGAGGTAGCTTAGAGCCTGCAGACGGACATAGGATACTATTTATTCCGAAAAAAAAAAGTTTGCACGAACTTTGCTTTACTCGGAGACGCCACGTTATTATGCTTGGAATGCTTCATCGAAGAATTTTCAAAGACGGAAGATTTTTTCTATGAAAAAAATTAACTTACTAAATTCGAAAATCGAAAATTAACTTGTGTCAAATTATTTGTATATATTTTATAGAAAATTTGTCAAACTGAACAATGAGCAACTTGAAATACTTAATGTTGGAATCGAAGAAATGTAGAATGCTTACTTAGTAACAATATTATGTAGCAAACCTAAAAGTTAGGTGTACATGGTTACAGAAAACTACACGTTTCCAATATACTTATATCCGTTGACTTTATGCAATGACAGTTCAACCTATCATCATCACATTATTGAAATATTTAAATTTCAATGAAATTGAAAGCAACTTTTAAATACTTTTTCAATTTATACAAAAATTGTTTTCTACACTTATTTTCCATACAAACTGTATGTAGTCTTGATATTCCTCTGCGCGCAAGGGACATTTTCTTCATGACGGTTACAAGAAATTCTCTTCACGTGTTGATTTATACAATTTCAGTTTTGCAAATTAAAGGAATGTTTTAATGTTCACAAATAAGATATCTTTTATTATCGGCATATAAATTAATATTATAATACCTTAATACGAAATTATATTATTGTCACATTTCAGCACCGACAGCGCCTAAACATTTACAAATTCCTAAAACGCTTGTGCACAAGCAAAACAGCAGAGCAAAGCAGCAAAGAGCAGAAGTAATTGTACAGTGAATTAATCTGTTAGTTTTCCTACATTTCATGTCTTAAACTCTCATTGCTGACTGAAGCAACTACTTACTCAAACATATGTATTTAGAGTTTAAATAGATGTTCGGATTTTGGAAAGAAATAGGATTGTTACCGATTGTGTTTAATAGAAAATTACTTTCTAACAATTTAATTTATAAAATACATATAAACAAATAAAAAAATATAAAATTTGACTTGACTTTGACGATGCCTTACTAAACAGCACATGCTTATTATAAAGGTAACCTATCTATAGATTGGTGACGTTGCAATAACGTAACATGTGTTATCACTTAACTGATATCATTCCTTGTATTAAGTACGTACGAATACGCTCTACTTACGCATTTCTTCTTTCTTCTTCATTCAGTTCGGGTGTGACTAAGACATATTTTTATTAAACGTCATGTTAATAACTAAAAGTTTAAAAAAACCTAAAGTAGAGTAGAAGATAGTAAATTTGTTGTTTATTCAGATGCCGGTACTATTAGGGTAATATTCAAAGCTATAAATTATAATATTAACACAAAATTTATAAATAAATGAACCAAAAAGTAAATCATTTACCTATATTTTATCTAAACTTATCGCCTGATACCACCACCACAAAGTGTTGACTTAAAAGTTATTATGTCACGTGTCCTTTATATTAATCACCGTGTTTTATTGTTCCAGCTTCGATGTGGAGAACGGGGGTGGTGCGGGCGGAGTGGGGGGCGCGCGGTCTCCTCTCGAGGGAGGCTCGCCGTCCACCGCGCTCGTCCTGCAGGCCATGCCGCAGCGCCGCGAGTCCTTCCTCTACCGCTCAGATTCCGATTTCGAAATGTCGCCAAAATCAATGTCGAGGAACAGCTCGATCGCCAGCGAAAGGTAAGTCTTTTACATCTACATACATACAGGTACATAGTAAACCATAAATCAAAACCTCCTTCGATCTACCTATATATATATTTTATTGCATTCATATGTGAATGCCAACCTATATTAAAGTCCTCTTTAAATGGCACTCGTACGTACTAAAATGAGCAGTCGAGTAAGGCGATTACATCTTAAGATCTATGTACATTTTAATAGCGTTTTACCTCACAACGTCAACTAAATGAACGGAGCCTAACTAGAGAACTGTGCGGGCCCCTTTAGAACATGGCAAATGTAAGTTCGGTGTTCATGAGTTCGGTGTTCCCTGTTCATCGTTTGAGTCCTGCCACGAGCCGGAAATTAACCAAGAGTCATTTTGTGACTCTGTTGTGAGTTAAATTATATAGATATGTCCTTTGGGCAATATTAAAATCCTTAAAAGGCGCGGCCTTGTTACATTGTCAAAGAGGCTGCAGGATTTCATTATACCCTTATATCGGGCGCCTAACCACTCGATCGACAAATCTATGGAGAGCGTTACATTCAAAACTCGGTGCTCAACTAATTAATTTTATCATTAGATTTTTTTTTATTACATACACACGACTGTTCTTTTGTTTGAGATAATATGTTGTCAGATCCATTAGCATAAAAATAAATGTATACGCACTGCGTCGTAAAAAGATGGTGTATAATAAGAATTACGGAATCAGAACAACATAATGGTCTAGCGAGCTTTCATGAATACAAAGTAGCAATCTGTAAATTACAAGGCCTCTTTGAGTTAAGAGTCTTATCATCTTAGATACCCACATTATTTAAACAAGAACTAATACGTCGCAAAGAAACTCAAATATGCCAAAAGCTAATAACAATGTAAACTGAAAGTCCAAGCTCATTATCAAACACTTGGATTTTATAAACAAGGAGGTAGGTACGATGAAGTAGATTTAAACTGATTTTTTGAACGATTCTATAATAGAGATTTGTACAATATAAAATACAAAAAAATAATCAAAATGAAAATAGTTAATTATCTTAAATAGAACCTTAAGGAGTCAGAGTATATCTTGAAACATTAGTCCTGTATAGAGTTTAGACACCTGTTTCGTATTCGTACCTTTCTATATATTTGAGTCAAACTATTTCCGATGGCATACTTTACCGCTTTGATCAAAATAAATAAAATTGCATTTTAAAGTAAAACAATTTAAAAATGTTATTGATTACTGTTACGTGAGCGTCATTTATTATTATGGATTTAAATGCCATCGCGTTTGCAAGTACATTGACAACGAGAAAAGTACAATGATTTCGTTTCTTATCATTTCATAGTATTGTATCATTTTAAACATATTACTTTTGTATAGTACGGTCGAAAGCTTTCTGCCCCGGATTTTATATACAATCCTATTATAAATCTTTCCCCAGTAAAAGTAACCCTTGACTTGTACGTAAAAACTATGTAAAACTAAAAACCACTTTTGAACTTCAAATCTATATTATTCTTTTATTTTAAACAGTAGTTTCTCCCACTGCATTTTGGTAGCACCAAACATGTTACTATGTGGTGTGGTGGACATGCATCATGCATGTGAAACATCAAAAAAAAAATGACTACTAGTAATCTCATTCGGTGCACTTAAATTTACTGGATTATCGCATTAAATACTGAATGTACAGTGGAAACTCGATTAACCGGATTAATTGTTGTCGTTAGGGATTCGGATAATCGAAAGTCCGGATAATCGAATGTATGAAGAAAAGCGGGTTTTATGAAATAAAATAAGTTTAATAATAGTAATATTTTTTAATAACTAATAATATTATTAATTAAAAATAATAATAAGTTTAATTTGGTTTAAAATATTTGGTAATTGGCATTTGACGTAAGCTACTTTTTCTCTTCATTGCTGCTATATCACGAATTCGTTTCAGCTGTAATAAACTTACAGTATCACTCTCTGTTTGTTTTTCAAACCATTTGAGAGCTGTTTCCAGAGCCTGAAGTGCTTCATCATGAGATGGTCCTGCATCATTTTCTACGTCTAGATTTTTTTCTGTTTCATCTTCTTGCATTTCCTGCTGTTCATTTATCTGCAATATGTTTTCTACGATTTCGTCATCCGACATAATCTGAAAACCTTGATCATTACTGTCACAAGTGACCCACTCTTTGATATCATCATCATCACAATCCTGGCATATTTGTATCTTTAACATTAGCTCATTAATATCCTTCAAAATAAAATCATCCGTATTGGTTATTGAATTTTCATTCTCCCGATTAAGTACTCTGTTCCAAGCCTTGTTTAAAGTTTTCCTTTCAATCAAATCCCACGCATCTACAACCATGTAACAACACTCCTTTAAATTCATTCCCTTAAAAAATGATAAAACGACTTCTACATTATCTTCATCAACAGATAACAACCTACGTAAAAGTTGTTTTCTATAAAGTCGTTTCAATGTTTCAATAATACTTTGATCCATTGGTTGTAGCAAGGATGTCACATTAGGAGGCAAAAATTTTACTTTAAACTTTCCATTTTCTCTCTCTAACAATTCAGCCGAAGGATGGGTTGGCGCATTATCCAGTAAAAGTAGTACATTACCTTGCTTGCCAATTTCGTTTTGTTTTTTTTTTACTTCAGGGATAAAAGTGTTGTCATACCAGTCAATGAATATTTCAGAGTTCATCGATGCGCTTTTTTGATTTTTATAAATTAAGGGCACTCTGATATTTTTAAAACATCTGGGTTTTTTTTGATTTTCCGATGAGGAGCAAAGGTATTTTATGGGTCCCGGTAGCGTTAGCACAGACTAATATAGTTACTCGCTCTTTGCTAGTTTTATATCCTGGAGCTGAATTCTCTCGCCTAGAAACTAAAGATTTTGAAGGTAATGATTTCCAGTTTAATCCGGTTTCATCAGCATTATAAACAAAATCCAAGTCATAGTTATTTTCATCCAATTTCTTTTTAAAATCATCTTTAAAAGAGTTTGCTGCATCTACATTAGCTGACATTTTTTCACCTTGTATTTCCAATTCACGAATTCCATGACGAGATTTAAATCTGTATAACCATCCGTTACTTGCGACAAACGATTCATCACCACCTAATTTTTTATTTAACTGTAATGCTTTTTCACAGAGTAAAGGGCCAGATATCGGTTGCCCAGTTGATCGTTTTTGTAAAAACCAACAATACAAAGCGTCTTCTAAAAGTTCGTTTTTCGGTTTCTTCATCATTTTCCGATGTTTACTCCCGTCTTCACTATCTAATTTGCAGGTGTACAACAAAATTGAATCGGCATTCTTCTTAATATCACTTATCGTGGATGTACCTACACAATACTCATCAGCTAACTTACGACCGGTTTCTCCTTTTTTTAATGAATCAATAATATTTATTTTGTCTTTAAGCGATAACACCACTCTCTTACGCTTTGACATTTTCAAATATTTAGACGCGACACGCACATCAGAGCGGAGTAACAATTGCTAACTAACCAAAACAATAACGAAACGCGTGGAGCAGCGATCCCGTGGGGCGCGGGCGGGGTAATGCCAGTTCCGACTCGTTCGTGCTTGCATAAATTCCACTTTTAGTACATATGTTAAACATTTTGTAACTTGGCTCAATATTACTTAATTATTTAATTGGTCGCAGTTTATAGTCCGGATAATCGCGAATCCGTATAACTGAGGGCCGGATAATCGAGTTTCTACTGTATTGCCAACAGAAATAATTTTAAGCACTTTATGATTAATGTTTTATTAATAAATTACTCTTTAAAGAACGTTAGATGAAGAGGTATAATCAGTTTTTCCTTTTTTTGTTAATGCTATTTTAAAAATCCTTTTATAAAGATTATATGTGCCACATGTTTTACGATACAATCTATCCCAACACAACCCTTTTGCCTTGCTGTATAAGTATTTTATCTAATAGCAAACATTATTTACTTCTAGTCTGGTAAATATTTAAATGGATTTATTGGTATATCAACAATTATACAGTATACACATCTCCTGGAAATCCGGTCTTAATATTGTTTGATTTCGGACTGAAACTTAAAAAAAAAGCGTACTCTTACCTCATTGACCGGCAACGTACTTGAATTGCAGTACAATGTACGGCGGTAGTCACTTACCATCAGGTAACCCGTATATTCGTTCGCCACCTATATTTATACAAAAACTGTGTTTGCACAAGTGATTTTCCATTGATTTTGAAATGAAATTCACTAAACCTTACTGAGTTAGAGCGTTACGTGTCATCTTGAACGTCAATCAGTTAACGAAGTAATTCGCTCTTACATTAGGCTAAACCCTTAAATTTTATATCAGGATTCTACTAAGCAAACTTAATGGTCTCCTACAGAATATTAGTCTGTAATAATATCAGTGAGTAATAACATCTGCAGATTGAAATTACTGGGGGACATGCAACATATACAATACAACACAATTACATAATAGCAAAATGGTAATATAACAATAGAACATTTTCTAATTATTCAATTTTGCGGAAAGTTTTCAATCCTACTATGCAGTATAACCTAGCAAACCTTTTGGAAGAATAAACTCCAATACTTCCCGAATAAAGGAAAATGTATTAGATCCTTAAAAGGTTCTTTTAAGTTACTTTTAAGGAATACACAAAGTTTGCCATTAATCCATCACTAGGCAGGACCTTCAGTTTGCATGAAAATGTATGAACAACGAAGCCAAGCAGCTTCAGAACCAAGCACAAAAGTAAGCCCTATAACAAGTCACTATAACCTGTATGTTGTGAAAACTAACAAGTAGTCAGCTTATTCACAAAAAGCCTACACTGGTGATAGCATGCGTATCGTCGTATAACTCTATGTGACTTAAACTGTGTCGCCTGTCGCTCATACTGTCTTGCACCAGCCGCCAACAGTATAGGGACAAACACTTCATGCAATTGCCATCACCCCTACAGAGCCTTTACTACACTATTCTAGCACAATTTTGGTGTAAAGCTGAACCCCGCATTATTGTAATCGCGACCTGACCCGCTTAGGTACCATAACGATTAAGGTGTCCTCTGATATCTTCGTTCTCTCTTTCTTTTCCTTATTTTTTAATTGCTTACAGATTCAAGGAGTCCGAGGCGGCACAACTGGACAGAGCGTACGTATATTAACCTACGCATGTACATAGCACAAAAATTTACACCGCTCTATACCTATCCTGCCTCAGTTTTCTTGGCTTCGTATTCATTCTTGCTTTCATGGTTTTAGAACTTGTGTTTTAGTAAATGTCGTGTTGGTGTATGTATATCATATTGTGTATATCTGCCTGTGCGTACCTACTACCTGTGCCGTACTTTATTTTATATATAATAGTATATAAGAATTTTATAAGTTCGTATTTCCTTTTTAGATGCTGAGCTTATAAAAAACTGCGATTATATTATAATTACATATTTTCGTATTATTCTATAGCACCGTGCTTATTAACACGTAGTGGAATGCTAAAACATGTGACAAGAATGCGATATCGCATCCTAGTAAAACCAACGTAATACTGTCATAAATTAGGTACTAATTAATTTGTTATTTATGACATATATATACATATGTATTCAATACTATTTTTACATAGATATACCCTAACCACCAACCTGAATATCTGAAACCCAACAAATTAGTCAGTTTCACTCGCTGTTAATTTTAGTAGAAAGGCCTTTTGTTTTAAACCATCCGCGATCTATTTCACTTAAATGAATAAAACCAAATGAAGGTTAGTTTTTGTGACATATTCGGTAGATAAATGGATTAAGTATCCATTTATCTACCAAAATATAACATATGAAATTTGTAGTGGTAGTAAGCAAAACCGTCATCAAAAAACAAAATCTAGAAAATAATAGTAGCAGTTTAAAATAGAACTTAAAATGGCAAAAAAAATCCCGATTCTATACAATACCTAAAAAGTATTATTTAAAACTAAATGTGGCTATTGGTATTCCCAGTCCCTGAAGTTGAAACAAATCTAGGCTTATTCTCTATCGCTGGTGTTAGTGACAGATCGATTTTACACGTTCTTGAAAATAAGGTGATGTATGATTATTTGTAATTTGTAACAAGCTGTTATGCTAGTACATCCGAGGTCATTTTCAAGAACATTATAGGTAATCCAGAACCCAGGTTTATATAAATTACTTAACTATCTTTAGGTATTGGAAACCACAGGCTTTTTGTAAAGCCACTCTTGCATCTGACGCAGACAACAAACATAAGTAATAATACAAATTACGCTTTCTGACAGTGGTTTTGATTAATCGTTGTTCCAATATAAACCTAATTGAGCCCTGTGCTACACACTTAATTGATAACGTCCTACATTAACTTAATTGAACATCGTTAAAAACAACTTAACGAACTCGAATCTCGACCTCAATGTGAGACAGCGGATAGACACGAGGAATAAATTAATAAATGATGCGTGAATTAAGAAACTTCTCGATCTACTTAGTATATTTATTTAAAAGTGTTTATACATCCACACCCTTATTAAAGTAACTTGTTCGAAGTTAAAAAATATAACATAATTTACAATCAAAATTTGTAAAACTCATTTATTTGTAATCGTGTAAGATATTCCTTATTATATCGTGGCAGCAGGGTCTTCGATCTATGATTATGCCCTGCATAATTAAAAGGAATAACTTGTAGCACGGTATAGTTTTTTCTTTTCAAAGTAACTACTTAAAATGTTGTACCATCTGTGAGTTGTACCATCAACTCGTACATAACACACAAACTGAAAAATTCAGTGAAAAATATTCATAAATTCCTAAAATTAAACTTGCTAATGAGTACTTATTAGTTTTTGGATTATTTGCATGTATTTGTAATACTGTATGAATTTCTTATAAAGATGTCCAGTGTATTTTCGCCTAGGCTATGTAGTAGATATCTAGATGAGTTTACAGGTATCGGAGTCGGTAAGATACACCTAATAATATTTTTTTTATTGATTGAGGAAATCATGAGAAATTGAAGTCGAACCGTGTTTATTTTAATTTCTTACTTAATACGTTCTTAGTATTAATGTACAGACGAAATTACTTTTAAATGAAGTAGTTTTACTTCATTTTTGAGTTCACGGACTTTTCATATGTATGTTTCATAAATCAAACATAGCATTTGTAAATTATTTCAATAATAATTATCTCATTGAGAGAAACATTGGGCAATGAAGAATGAACATGTACTACTATTTTTCACACTATTTTAAAGTAACATATACTAACACTTCAAGTATCTGACTATATCATCAACAGCCTTTAATAGTGCACAGTTGGACATAGGCCTTTCCTTAGAAAGGAGGTTTAAGCTTACTTTGCCGTGCTGGCCAGACGAGTTGGTAAAGGGTATGTTTCAAGATTTCTTTCTCTTTGCAGTGCTGTTGTCCTGCGTAGTTTGCTCCCAAAATCGGCTCTTACCACACCCACGGGATGAATAGGGGTGATGACACTAAGTATTCTTAATCCGATACCATACGGACGTCTGACTATATATAACTGTTTCTATATGATACTTTGCTGTATTTTTTAAATGCGTTAAGTTGATCGTACCGCGGGTGGACTAATACACACAAGAAAAAACGAAACATACACCACATCAACTCGCATAGCATGTAAGATGGCTGAACAATAATGACCAAACCCTGACTTAAAACTTGGATCCTAGTTGCCTTAATAATATTTACTTGTGATATTACATTGTTGTTATAATGTATATATATATATATATATATATATATATATATATATATACGAATATATTTATTTTTAAAGAGCATCATGTTAAGATTTAACAGACTTGTCAATACTATAAAAATATGCCCGAGCTTGACATACAGCAGAGTCAAGTTGAAAGTCACTCGCACCTTGCCATAGAATAATCGATAAAGCCCGCGGGCTGCACGACCGGGGGCGTATCTTTCGTCTGTGCGTGATTTCTTTCAATATCACTGATTTCCAACTACGCACTTACTTATTTGATTTTCCTTTGATATTTATAATATCTTAATACCTCTCGATTTCCACGACGAACATTGATTACTGGCGCCCACCTTCGCCAGTTTCCATTAGCGCCAAATTTATCCTCGGGTGGCGTCGCGCACCGTCGGCGACGGCCGGGAGCCGCGCGTCGAGAGAACGAGTGGGACGACGCCGCCGCAGCGCCTCGCACACCTCCCATTGATAGTCCGCGCGGGCTGCCGGCGACACGCCACATTCTATTCCCAGCTACACGCGATGCATCCACTCTTATTCTGCCGTCTAAGCCCCCTTTCTAACTTAAACCCCAACTTATATGTGACTTAAAGCACCGGTGCTATCACATCGTGAAGTGACTCACCAGTAAACTTACAGATTTTTACCAAAAATACAATGTGCTTACATTTATTTAAGTGTTTAATAAGATTTTCGCTTGAACGGTTGAATATTGTCGAGGTCGTTCACTGATCTGACTGGTTGGCCCGGTTGCCTATACTCCGCACGCAATGGTCCAACCATTAGTTGCGTTTAACAGTGCCGAGGATGAGGAATAACTTTTCGAAACAATTTTAAGAATCTGGCTTAGATAGAAAATACTAACTCGTTGTGATGTTTTTAGTTGCTGGATTTCATTAAATAAACTTTCACATCCGGATAGTGATTACTAAGGATATCCGAAGAAGATAAAGTTATCTAAGCATGTGTATATCGAAGTGATAGGATTTCCCACTATGTAAAATACTAGAATTTTGAGACTCTAAGTGCTAATTTAACTAGAAACTAAGTAAATAATAAAGAAATAAAAAGACGGCAACACGAGAGAGGTACGAGCATCATAAAAAAATGATAGCTTCACGATAGATTGATCAGCCTTGCATATGTAGGCGTTGGCATGATATATAGTAAGACAGCGGTCAGAAAAGACAAAGAGCGTGATGCAGCGATCAGGGTCTCAATCAGAGCGGCTGGGTGGTGGAGCTGGCAGCGTGGCTTTTATTCCGAAGAGTTCAGCATCGGAACACAGCATGTCAACTGGTGTGTCGGGGAGCAGCAGCGGCGGCACGCTGCCGCGCACACTCAGCACAAGCGTACTAAGGATTAAAAACAGATCCACGTTCTGGGAGAAATTCTGGGACGAACGTACCCGCCGCGATGCGTGAGTAACTCTGGCAATTACTTATTCAGCGTTGATAAAATATCATACTGACTATAATAAGGCCAGAATTCCCCCTTTACACAGCTGATCGTTCTAAACGGTAGTTCCTAGATATGTTATTCTTATAACAGCGTGTTTTGGATTGCTCGATTTTTAAAATTCCCCATTATTAAATAATCCCTAGGACCTGAAATAACATGGTCCGGGTCCTTCCAAAATACGGCGCCTGTGGGTGGCCATTGTGGTCCAACGTGGTCACCATTTGGTGATTCCACTAAAAACTTCCGGCTCCTGAGCCCCCGAGGAGCAAAAGATCCGAAGAGCTTTCCCACCCCGTCAATATTAAAGAGAAAGTTAACCTCTAACAAGATTATTACATAAAGTAATTTAAGAATTTTGTTGATTATTTTTAATCATTCATCTCAAAATGATGACACCATGAGTAATTGTCTCCGTTCTAGGAGCTATTTTTATTCAACAGTACGTAGTATCCACTTTAGTCTTAATTCGAAATTTCGCGAGCATATCTGTTTCAGAACGAATTAGATACCTAAGTACGTAATCAAAAATCAGATACAAAACTACTTACAAACTGTTAAACGCTACGGAATTTGGGGTGTGGTTTTTAGTGGAAACACCACATACTCCACAGTAGCCGGAGATCCGACTTATCACCCCCTTGTTTGCAACTTAAATCTTAAGTATTTTTACTTGTATTTCCAACATCAAATGCTTCAGCGTTATAAACCACCAAACTTATGAAGCAATTCATTTCAAAAAACAGTTGTTTACTTTTTCTGTCACATTTAAAAATTATTTTTCCGTTATTGGGTACTAGTAGTCAAGTTCTCTTGAAAATTATTGCTTCGATAGCTTACAATGTAGTCACTCAGATAGTTATCTCTAAAACATCATCTACAATTTAATAATACACCACAAATTATAATAAAACAATGTACTACTCGTATAAAGTGACAATATGTACATATGTATGACAGAATATTTTTCCTTTTAATAAATGCATAGGTTAACAATACATAAAGTGTATTGTTTTCATGTTTCTTCTAAAAAAAATATGACATAGTCTGAATTCACTACTATGACGACAGATGAAATCTTAGTTTATGATAAAGTAAATTCATTTAATTAAATAAATTGTCCTTCACCGTAAGTAGCATTTACATCAAAACACGCCAGTTTAAAATTTACGTAGGTACTATGACATATTGTATATACCATAAGTAGATAACAATTTGCATCCACCAACACAGCACTATGTAAGTACTAGCTATCATACAACTATAGTGCATTATCTCTCACATACATTAACAATGTATGCCATCTAAGAGTAAACGTGTTTAACATTTTTATTACATTATTAAGGCCTATTTAACTGAGTTAGGCGAAAGTTATTATTTTGATTTACGTGTCTACATGGAGAGGAAGTACGGCCTAACCTAAATTGTTTAGACAAATCTAGAAATCCATGAACACACAAAAATGATTTAAGACCACAAGTAAAACTGGATTCTGAACTGTATCTTTTCGCCTTTTCACCAGAATCCAGCGCACAATATGCTAAATTCAATTTAAACTTTCAGTGACGCCATTACATCAATTCTTCGTTTCAGTTTTATTTGATTAAACGCTAAAAGCTGCCCTTTGAACGGCGACTGGTGCCACAAAATTCAAAGGTCGTGTCGACTTTGGTAAAAATTAACCTAATATTTCTGTCAATTGCGTAAGCACATTGCTACGCTTGTAAAAAATGAGTAATCCGTAAGAGTTAATAAGGCCGAAGATATAAATAAGATAGAGTACATTTTTTTTAAATCAGCTGATTTAATCTACAAATAGTTCAGCATTACATTTGCCATATTATGGGCTTTCACTATTAAACACTTCAAACACAAATTTAAATGCCATAAAATTTAAAGATTTTAATATTTTATTATAGATGCGAAAATATATGTATTTTAACTCACCACCTAAATATCTAAATTGACTTATAAAAGCCTCTGAATATTTTATACGTATAAATGGTCCGGCTCTAAATGTCGATCTGTTTATCTCTATCCATTCTCTTTGCGTGACCCACGATAAATAAATTCGAACTAAATATTGCAAAAGGTATAGAGAGAGGGTAAAGTCCGTTCTTAGAATTATGGTCTTATTTTTATATTAAAGGTACAAAGCTTACCGGGCTTTATCATGGTTGCCTAAGCGTGCAGCTCAGGCTCCAGGTGTCTATTATTAGAATATGAGAGAAAGTAATAATTGAAGTGGGAATACGAGAGATGAAAGTTTCATTTGAATGTCCAATATTGTGCACAATGCGCAATAATTCCAACATGTTTCACAACAGTTGCTCAATAACTCATCAATGAAACTAAAATATCGAGGTTGTCTAATCTAGATTTATATCTTTTATTTTATTTTACATACATACATAAATTAATATCAATTTTCATTTTTTGAAAGTAATTTTTTTTTTAAAGTGTGCCACGTTACTGTGGTATCTGTTTCGAAGTCCTTTAAGAAAATTCATTTTAGAATACATTAAGTTGCTTTTGAGTTACTTTCTCTCATAACAGGCTTTTATATTTCAGGTTATTAGTTAGTAAGTAAATTCTCAATATGGTGGCTAACTTAAAGACACTTGTCCTTTAAGAAAATTTAAGAAATTCATGAATTTTTCTGTAAATTTAGAGTCCTTAAATACACTACTTTGATAAAGTATATAGTTTATATATAGTATATTAAGTTCAGTGACCCTTTTACTGCATACAACCACACTATAATTCAGTGCTCTTTGTAACTTTCACAACTATGTTCTATAATAAAATGACAATAATTACCGTAACACAAAAAAATATCAGTTACTTAAAAAGATTCCAATCTCTTAAAACTATTATCAGTGATAAACCATTAAGAATCGTCTCTAGTGATAATCGTTACCATAAGGATATTAAATATAATAGGTATGTGAGGTGTCTGTCATATGCCCGTTGCAATAACATTGACAATAACATAAAAAGATTAATGACATGATAAAATTATTTACCTCATACATAATGTAATACCTACAATAACATAATAAATATGTAGATTAAATCTGGGTATAAGATTATCACGGGCGTGTATTTGTAATCTCTGTCTATATTTACAGTTGTTTTAAGTATAAATTCAAAAACTGTTAGCACTGGTTATTTTTCAGTCGATATTGTAGACTACACTCGTATATCTGTATATAATGTTAAGTCGGTTTGTGTACCCTTCAAAAACTCAAAATTTTTTGCACCCATTGGGCTTAAATTTTGACACGATATACAACACGCTTTAAAATTGCTTAAAAGGAGTGACGCCTAGAGACTATAAGTGTCTGAAGCTGCGTCACACCATGAACTATAACCCTGTTTAATACTGTATACACTGTTCAGTAATTGGCCACTGTAACAACACAATTAGCTGATACCCATCGCCCATGACTCCTGTTGTCAATTTATAATCTGTACACAATCGTTGATCGTTGACGACGTAAAGTTAATATTACGAGTACTTAATTAACAAAAAGTTCAAAAACAAATTGTTTTGGCATTGGAAACTTAAATGTTTAACAACTTCAGGACTGCTGGTAAACATTCTGCATGAAATAATAAACCTTAAGTTCTTCCGTCATTGAAAATCCATTTTACTTAAATTATTTGTACTTTCTATATAGTAAGTAGAACACTAGACTACCCAAAGCATTAATACTGACTGTACATATTTTTAGTTTTAGGAACTGGTACATGTTTGCAAATATATCTTCCTGAGATAGAATAAATCTAAGTGGATTTACGCTTTATTTTATATATATATTTACATATAAACTACACAATAGATTGATTAGATTATTAATTAAGTTTTTATAAAGAAAAAAAAAACAATATTTTGCAACTGTATAGTCTAATAATAAATTTACTCGTACATATCCTACGGCCGCCGGCTACGGACAATGCATATGATAAAATTATAATTCCTTTTTTGCTTCTGCCCGTTGTTAACACAGTCACAGGTACACTTACGGTGGTTAGGAAGTAAGAATTAGAAGTAAATATTAGAATACTTAATATTAAATTTTAAACAAAGATAAATCCAATTCGCTATACTTGTAATGTAATAAGCAATTCAGCTTCAATCTGCAATGCTGAAAAGGTGAAAACTAAGTTTTTTATGTATTAAAGAACCACAAAACCTACTCGAGGGCAAACCTTTTTTGCAAACTGGCAAACTATTTTCTGTATTATACGCAAATATTAGCACTATTTGTTCATGTAAAAATCTTTTTGTCGATCACTTAATAGGAAATTAAATTATCACAAAAATACCGATTCCTAATAAGAGCCAACGCCTTTAAAGATAGAAAGTTCTGGTGCTATATACAAAAATACAGTATGTGACACTCGCCAATATATACCTTTCCTTAATACCGATCATGTTTCCCCTTATATGTATTGTGTGTTATCGTTATCTGAACGTTGCGTATGAGATGAGGTATCGTTGTACATCGAATACCGTAACTCATCCTGAATAATAAATGGGATATTGCGATTTCAACTGGATCACTATTTCGCTATATTCCGCACAACTTTAACTCTTAATGCTTAGAAAGGAAAAATCCATTTAAATCAACATTCATCAACAGTCGCAAACAGTAAGTGCTGTATTTAGTCCTGCCTACTAGTCGAATTTTGCCCATTATTAATTAAGTTTTTACTAGTCTCTTTTACTTCTTTGACTTTAAGTATTTAGCACTGCAAAAATGCATTCATGGAAATCCTCACGCCTATTAATATACCAGAATAAAGTATGACGATCTATGGTCTTAAGTACATAAAAATTGCACATATGACCTCGAGATCATTGCAAATAATTTATGGTATACTAGCTGACCCGCGCAACCTCGTCTCTTAGAAGGAAAAAATAACAGTATCACTCCGGGAGTGCCGACAGAAGTA